AGAAAAAAAATAGTGAATCAGGTTGAAACACCTAAGACTACTTTTTTGCTTCAAGGTCATCCCAGTAAGTGAAATGGATCGCATTTAAGTGATCGGACCAGTGATTCCCATTTTCAGTTCTTGTCTGATGTGTCCGGTTTTTCTTTTTTTTAATTTTACATTAGAAACACCTGGAGGAGGTACAATTTGCGTTAAATCTGTTGATTTAACATGCAATGTTGTTAGGAGACTGGAAACACCGATCCTGTCACGAAAATCATTGTCCATCTTGGGAGTACCATGTACATCAGTGTTCCTGGTCAATTTCACGGGCATTTCGCTTGTTTTTTTGGGGGGGAGGGGACTCGATTTGCAGAGCGGTTATCACGCCTCGTGGGAATGGTATTATTTCCCCGTGAATTTCGAGGGGGAATCGACTGATGAATACACGCTATGTATTCGTCGTCACTTTTGACCTTAATCGTTTTTGTTAAGAAGATCAATCTATCAGTGGGAGCTTGTACTGATGAAGCGAAACCAGTTGCAAGTACTATGTGTCGCACTGAGACTGAACCTAGCCCCGGTCACGGTTAATCGAAATTACGTTGTATAGTATTGGAGTTTTTTTTTCGGATACAGTATTTGGTGTGATAGACAATAAAAGAGGTGAATGGTATTATCAGAAGGACTTCCTGTACACTTATGATTACTGACAAGCCAATCTAGGGAACCTAACCGGGAGTAACACATACGACTGCATTAGAATTGAGTGCCGAGTTAGACGGGACCCCACCTGCTAGCGGTCTAAGTCAGTCGAATTCGATTTGGATTACCATGACGTCAATTGATACTGCTCAATTTTTAAACTGTTCGATTGGCTCCTAATGCAGAGCCAAATCGAATGGCAACAAAGGAGTGGAAAGCTCTGAAAAACATCCTAAGTTTCTATTGATAACCATGTTCTAGGTCACGTGAAACGACTTTCGTTCCGTCAGCGCGTTGGTCTCTACGCCCGATGACGTAACGTTGATTACTGTCGGTTATCAGATATTGGTTGCCATCCTAAATAAGAACGCAGTCTGTAAAATGCCAGCCAAACTTTTTCGGATGTGTACGTGAATTCCTGGTGTTACTATTCCGCAAGGCGGTGCCTGGTGGAGGGTAGTCGTTTATCATAAATAACGGTCAAGGTAATTTGACATTCATACAAAAAATATCTCATTTGGAATGAATCTTCAGCATTACCACAAGCACATAGGATAGTTAGTGGAACGATCCACTATCAGATGCGAATTCTTGCGGTTACTCTGCTGGATAGTATCAATTCGCTCCAACCGGTCTTGTTCATTCTTGACTGTTGACAGAAACCGCCATTAGCATCATTTTGCGAGCTACTCGCAGGGGTGAGTAGTATCCCACAAAAATGGTTCTTGTTGGTTGGCATCGTCATATTGCAGTAAAAGTATGTGGTTTTTATTTATATGTGACAGAAATATTTGTGATGATCGACAAAGTACACTCGATTGTTGAGTTGCTCCTGTTTAGGACTCGTGAGAAATTAATGCTATCGCCCTCAAGCAGTGAAACCCACACCAAGGTCATCAGCAGTACTTGGTGCCTCTGAACAATCGAATAGGCTGCTTTGTATTCTTGAAAGTAACGGGTGCAATCGATCAATGTTTATCATCTCCGCCCGTTGAACGATTATTATTATATTTCTGGAATCCGATAAATCCAAACAAACCCCTGAAATGGACATCGGTTTGGGTCAATTAATGAACATTCCTTGCTGGTTTCGAATGTCCCTTTTTGACTTACGTATCCCTGATCATCTGACTCGTGTGATAGAAATAGAAGGACACATCACTTGACCGAATCGTTTAATTCGATGCCTTGATTTCTTTCCATATTCAAAAACCTTAACAGAATTGATGGCATTAGACCACAAACCAATTTGTTGTTGTACGGTAGGTACTCGTGGAGCTATTCTCAATCGCGCCTACGTCGTCACACTGCTCCTGAAATTCGTCACGTTGATAACCAAAACAATACCTTGGTTTGGTCTTACTCGAGGCCGATTTACGCTTGTTGCTTGCTCGAAACGCGCTTATAGCGCGCAATTGGCTT